CGGGCGCGCCGCTCGAGTGCCGCTGGGTCGGGCCGGCCGGCGTCGCCGTGGACCGCGGGCCCGTCGACCGCGTCGCGGCCCTGCCGCCGCCCGCGGACCCGGCGTCGCCGATCGTGCTGCCGACGTCGCGGCGGTCCTACGGCAAGGGCGTCGCGGGCCACTTCGCGCACGCGTGCGCGCTCGGCCACGCGTTCGCCGTCGGCGGACCGGGCGGCCCCCCCGACGTCGCCTACCAGATCCGCTGCACGGGCGACGCCGGCGCGCGCCGCGGCGGCGCCCGCGTCCACGCGGTCCGCGTCGACGCGCTCGGCGCGGGCGCGGCCGTCGCCGAGCTCCGGGGCACGCGCTTCGAGCGCGGCCTCGGCGCGCGGGCCCTCGCGGCGCTCGCCGCCGACGTCGGCGCGCCCCTCGCGTACAGCGTCGGCAGCCGGCGCGCGCTCCGGCCCTGCGAGGGCTTCTTCCTCTTCGAAGCGCCGACGGCATCGAACGCGGCGCACCTCACGGACGGCGCCATGCGCCTCCAGTCCCTCCGCAAGCTCGCGGACCGCGCCTGGCACGACGCGCCGGAGAAGCGGCCCTTCCCCCTGCTGTAATGTCCAGGCTCCGACTCGCGCCAGAACGAACTCGCGCGGCGCCCGCGGCGCCGGACTCAAGTCGGCAAATGAACTTGAAGCGCCGACTCCGAGTCGGGCGCGGCGCCGCCGCACGAGCAAGAACAGCAACGGCGCACGTGAAGGGGGAGGCGTCCTCTACGGGCCTAGGCGCGGCGGCGCGTCGAGCGACGAGGGCATCCACCATCGTGCTCAGGGTTTCCAGTGCAACATAGCGACGTTGACCAGGTGTTGAAATGCCACAGCGATTCGATATGGCGGCCTGCCTCGACGCCGCCCCGACGGTCGCCGCCTACGGGTCCCACCCGTCGCAGTACGTCGTCGTCCACGCGCCGCGCGGCGCGCCGCGGCGCGTCGTCGTCGCCGTCGTCCACGGCGGGTTCTGGAAGAACAAGTACACGGTGGCCTGCGCCGCCCACGAGACCCTGGCGCCGCACCTCGCGGCGCGCGGCTACGGCGTCGTCGAGGTCGAGTACCGGCGCCGCGACTGCGCCGGCGGCGGCTGGCCCGGCACCGTCGACGACGTCGCGGCCGCGCTGGACGCGGCGCGGGCCGCGGGCCTCGACG